AATGTTCAAGCGCGATGGCAAAGAGCTGTTTCCAAATACTTCACGAAGCAAACTATGATCCTTAAAGTCATTAAAATCTATAATGCAGACATAAAGCTTAAAAAACAGAAAAAAAAACACAAAAACTTTTCGATGAAATGTAAAATATAACAATCACGATGCGACTCAAGTAAAAACGCAAACTGTGATGTCCAGCTGAGGCTCTCAGCACATTTTCAGTTCACACTCCCAAAGTGTGGGGACAATACATGTATTAATATTTCTTGTAAAATGAGAGCGTCGTGAGTCACAGCTTCCATTATATATCATAAAGGGACAGTGTGTAAATGTTCATTTTCTGCTACATTTCTCGATATGCAGTCGGACCAGACGACTCTGCTCCTGTTCCCGACACCATTCAGCAGTACTTCGCTGTGGCAAAGTGTTCCCCCGCATCCAGGATTGCTAAAACGTGGCTCAATGGTTCTCATCCGGAACTTCAGCAACTTTTTTTTTTTCCTTTCTGAAATGCGTTATCGCCACCTTGATGTTGGTGGTGCCACTCCAAGTCGTCCAAAGTAAGCATCCCCCATCTAGTGAGTCCTGTCTCAGTGGTATCATCAGCGAACTTGTTCATACTGCTGCTGGAGTGAGTGGGGTCGCAGTCACGCACTAGAAATCGACCAGTTTTTAAAATTTGGGGACAGTGTTAACCCTTTCCTGCACCCTGTAACCTGATCACATGATAAGCTGTCCACTGTAGTAATCGCTGTCCCTGAAAGGGTTAAATATCATCCATCCATCCATTTTCTCATCCGCTTTATCCTCACAAGAGTCGAGGAGCATGCTGGAGCCTATCCCAGCTGTCTTCAGGCAGTAGGCGGGGGACACCCTGAACCGGTCGTCAGCCAATCGCAGGGCACACAGAGATGAACAACCATCCGCGCTCACAGTCACACCTCGGGACAATTTAGAATGTTCCATTAATTTTCTGTACCAGCTAATTCTAGACCAAGTCTGAAAAGACATTTAAAAAACGTCTTTGTGAGTGAATGAGTTAACCTGCCACACATGATTCAGGGATGTGGGAGGAAACCGGAGTACCCGGAGAAAACCCACGCAGGCACGGGGAGAACATGCAAATATCAACACAGGAAGGCCGGAGCCGGGATGGAACCCATGACCTCTGCACTGTCAGGTCGACCCACTAACAACTCGACCAACCAGGGTGAAATACTTTTCGGTAAATTTTACAGAAAAATTGAAAAAAAAAAAATCAAAGATTTCTCACAATATCCACCACCCGCAAATGAAGATTTCTGGTGGGCATTTTACGATATCAAAATCAAGTATATATTGCCCATGCGGCTCGTGTAACAGCAAACGTTACAGTAACTCATTGTAATGCTCCACAAAACTTCTGTTATTCAGACTGTGTGAAGCATGCGCCTATGACAGAGGGTTCCCGCTCCGTCGCGTTCTCATTCATCTCTGTGGCTCCGGTTGATCGCTTCTTTTTTTTTCTTTTCTTCTCTATCTTGGACTCATATCAGAGCGGTTCTCTCTTGCTTTCATGTGCCTCGTAGTCAGTAAACGATGAAAGCCTTCTGCGACACCATAAAGCTAATAGTCATAGTGTCAGGAGAGCAACTTAAAAGGAGAATTCTGAATTGGGTAGCAGTGAAGCCTTGAGTATTTGGGGTACAGTGAGCTTCAATTTTAATGTGCATGCTGGGGTCATTGGTGCCATAGTTTGAAAGTTGAACAGTAAAAGACTCGCTATTGGCCGGATCAAAATATCTTCCAGATCATCAAAAGAACACGTACCCACGGTGAAGACTTTTGATGGGAGTGTCTTTTATTTCGGGGGAAATGTCTTCAGCTTGATCTTGTGGATTTTGTTGAAGATGAAGGATTTTAGTGAAGATCAGTGATGGCGGAGTGGTTTGTTTGCTTGACTTCTGGGAAAGGGAAAGCGGTGTGGGTTCAGTGCCCACTCTGCGAGAATGTGAAGTGACTGTGAATGTTTTCTGTCTCTTTATGCATAACTGGAAGCATGATATTTTTGGTTTTATTCTGTCTCTATGGTACTGGAGATCAGAAGCAAATTACTCGGGGCAAAGAGTTCCACTAAAACATATTGTTTAGTAACAGGCAGGGTTCGGGACACGGGCAGTCAATCGGACAACACAGAGGTGTGAAGATGACAGGGGGGGGCCCTATTTTCGTGCTCAGCGCACATCTGGCGTAGTGTGCTTTCTTTTGATATTTTCCTAGACTTGACAAAAGGTAGAATTGGGCATAACTTGGTGTTTAAACTGTACGCCGTTGTGGGATCGAAAGTCCCTGATCTGTTTTTAAATTGAGCTACTTAACAGTCTGTTGAGGTATATTAGAGATAAGATAAGAAAAAACTTTATTGTCTCACAATGGAGACATTTGCAATGTACAGCAGCAAAGTTTGGAGGGAAGATATTACACATACACCTTATACCGATTAGAATACCTTCATGCAAAAGTGAACGGACACTGATTATTATGCACAATATTGATTGATGTCTCTATTTTTGCAGCAGAATGCCGTCAAAGGGCCACAAAAAGGTTACGTTTCAGCCTGTGCCATATTAATTGCTAAAAGAGTGCGTGTGTGTGTGTGTGTGTGTGTGTGTGTGTGTGTGTGTGTGTGTGTGTGTGTGTGTTTGTGTGTGCGTGTGTGTGCATGTGTTCCTCCAAAAACAAGAATGAATGGAGACTTATGCATGTTTCTTTTTGCACAGATGAAAAAGTATTGGTCCCAACTCTGACCCCTGGGGGACACCGCACATTATTTCGAAATGCTTTGAGATATTTTCCCATATCACAAATTGTTTCCTGATCCAATTTATCACTTCGCCATTGAATCCCTTATTGTACCAATTTGCTTATTAAAATATGGTTTATGGTCACAAATGCTTTCTGTAAATTAGCCTCTAACTAAATAAAGCCTCTAACAGCAGACTTCTTTTTGTCTCTGGAACTGATCATTTCTTAATGACGGTGACTGGATTGTTCTGAATTGGCACCTGATGTCATTGGGTAGATTGTATGTGTCTAGGAAAGTGCATAATCTGCTATCAATATGTTTTTCCAGATTTTTTTTTTTTTTTTAAGAATTGGGGCCGTAGAGCAGACAAATCAAGGTTACGGACTAGGGGGTACTAAGGGCCAACGCAGCAATTTTCCATGGCTTGTGTCTCTTTTAACCTTTTATGCACTCAGTAACCTGATAACATGATAAGATGTCCACTGTAGTAACTGCTGTCCCTGAAAGGGTTAAAGATCTTCTCACAACTCCACTTGCACGTTGTCACACAAGGCCATGATAACGCTGTACCTCAGTTGTCAAGGTTTTCACCAAAATTTGTACGAATTTAAAACTAAACGGAGCAATAATTTACTGCACAACTTGAAGGAACACCTCTGCAACTATATTACTTGATATCTGTGAAAATCAACACATCAAAGAGGCATGACAACACATTAACAAGTGTTGCTTGTAACTACAACAAAGGATGCTGGGAAACATTTACTCTGTTTCTCTAATGGCCTTGTGAAGTGCCGATGATACAAAAACTATTAATCAAGGCAAACATATTTTTGACAATATGTTTTATGCACCCCCATAAGTCTAAACACGACATTCCGATTGATGTTATAATTGTGGAACATGAATTAAACAGCAAAATCTTACAAATTATCAAAATACTAGTGTGGTTGTCATTTACTTTGTTTTTTTTTTTCAGTTTCTGTAGTTTGTATGTTTGTTTGTTCGTTAGTTAGTGCATGTCAGAGAAATGACTAGCAACAATATATAGTATCTGAAACTATTGTGTTCGCATGGGGCTGGGCAACACAGACGACGAGGAAACAAATTTTCACTTTAAGTGTTCAATGTTTTCCTGTATGGTAACATCCTCCACCTACGGAGGGAATTTACCAGGTTGAATGAGATTTATATATATATATACAGTATGTGCGTGTGTGTGTGAGTGCGTGTGTGTGTGCGTGTGTGTGTGTGTGTGTGTGTGTGTGTGTGTGTGTGTGTGTGTGTGTG